ATAAAAGAAAATCTATTTTCAATTTTTTAAAAAAAGGCGCAGAACCTTGAGACTAGTCAAAAAGTCTTTAAATTTTTTCACATTTAGAGTCACTCAAGATTAAAATATCATCCAATTAAAAACAATTGGACCACCTTCTAATCCCTCACTTTCAGTTAATCAAATTTGTATTTGGAATTTGATCACAGCACACAAACACAAATACAGGGAAAACTAAGTGTGTGAATACGTGCATTTACTTGGTATTCAAAATTTACATGTACGATTCTAAAACATATTTATTTTGGCCTGTCACTAGACCCATAGTGCCACTCGGTGAATATACCTTTTATTTCTTCTGAATTACAGACAATAGCACCAATATGCCAATGCTCATTGGAATGCATATTAAATAAATTAAAAGAAGGCTATGGCAGCACTTCTCACACAACCATTGGATCACATATGGGCATACGAAATGAACAGCTCACTGGACAAGTAAAATACCAGCGTCAATCAAACTCTTTTCTTTATTTTTCATTTATTCCTCTTTGAAGATCAGAGTATTCTTCATGAGTTAGAATGATTAAAAGATATGTATCTATACTGAAGCCAACAAAACTCAATAAGCTCAAATATTTCAACTTACCAAGGGTTTTCTCTTTCCTTTGGAATGAAAATAAAATACTTCAAAATGTGGGAATAGTTTTATTACAATGGCACTGGGATCATAGCAGAGTTCATTTTTTCCTTATTTTAGTCCTGCCAATGACAGACAACTGGGCACATTTTTTAAAGCCTTAGGCAACACACTTAAGATACTGTAAGTATTTAGCATAATGAAGTTTAGTTGATTAATTTACAGTAATAATTTTTTCAAGTTTGGTGTTCTTTAAAAATAATAGAGGAAATTCCCAATCGATGTGCTTTAACAATGTCTAACTTAGGCTTACTAATATGAGAGGCTCTGTGGCAGCTTAATTCCTTTGGTAATCTACCAAAGACTGGTGGTTAATAGTCATAGCTGAAAAAAATTCTCAGGATCCCTTCAGAAGACTGAAGCAGGAACCTACAAACTATTTAAAACAAATCACAATGAGAATTTATTTAATGTACTCAGGGTGTATGATTTGACCCACATCAGAATCTAATCTAGAAATAAAAGCTTCTTCACAGAAAAGTTTTCTATGTCCTTTTCCAGAATTGAAATTATATCGTCACAGACTTGTTTTTGAACGAACGTGATCAAGAGGTATTGAAGAATGTTAAAATATGTCATTAGCATCTTCTTTTGTGCCTTCTGAGCAAACATGGTTGTTCTTCTTCCTGAGGTTCAGGGATCAAGCTAAGTCCCTGATACATACAAGGCAAGTGCTCAGCCAGTAAGCTAAATTCCCATCACAATGGGATTTAATGTCAATGTCCATCAATACCAAACTGGCGCTTGAGCCATCCAGTAATGTCCCCACTGGCCAATATTGATGAAATTACATCAAGCAGCAAAAAAAGAAAAAATCACCCCATGAAATACACCCTGAGCCATAAGCTAAAGAATGCTGCTTCTAAAGATGGTATTACTTTTCCTTGATAAATTTCGTATTACCTAAAGTATATGTTCCCATAGATTTATGGTGCCAGTATAGGTGCAAGTTGGCTTGGTAAGAATAAGTACAGACATGGAATGTAGAAACCTTGTTTGGCATTCTCTACGTAGCTCATATAAATCTAGATTGTCAAAAGTGATTACGGAAATAGGAAATGTTAGAGCATCTCTCTGTACAGGCTAGACACTTTGCTAATGGAGTAAACTCTTCTGAAGACCACGATATTCTTTCACATTTGTGTGATGCAGTGGTTCTCAACCTGTGGGTTGTAACCCATGTGCTGGTCTAACTACTTTTTCATGGAAGTTGTATATTAGATAACCCACATATCTGATATTTACATTATGATTCATAACAGTAGCAAAAAATATAATTATTAAGTAGCAATGAAAATTTTATGGTTGGGGGTCACCACAACATTAGGAATTGTATTAAAGGGTCACAGCATGAGGATGTTTGACACTAGTATAATGGTTTGTTCATTCCAAAGCTCTCACAGAACTATGGGAGTGTACTTAGTACGATTGTCTCGTATTTCAAATCATGACTTAGGTGAATTGTTTTCTTAGAATCTGAGTTGTTTTTTTTTTTTTTTTTCTAATCCATTCTACTGACCTCACATCATAATACCCATAAGGACTCACATGTATAAAATGCTAAATTCAGGCATTTTCCCCGAGGGGAGATGGATATTATTGCATTTTTTTTATTCCATGTAGTAGTTGTAATGTAAAAGCTGATTGCTTTAGTATTGACTACTGGTTCTGAAAATACATGACCACTCAAATAATAATAACCTACAGTTCTTCTGAGCAACGGTTAGCTGAGCAGGTATATCAGCCCAAATCAGAACAAGAGCTCCTTAACAATACCATATAATTCTGGGCTTCTTTATAGCTGTTCCATGCAAGGTAAATTGTTATAGTAGTATTCCCAGCAAATTGGAACTCTGTTTCAGTGTTTGAGTCCTGGTATCTAAAAATGATTTTTTAAAGCACTCCTCTTTGAGATTAGACACAAACAAGGTCAACTTTCTGAATGTCTTTACTCCTGACATGAGTCTGGCTTCTGGTTTTCTATTTTCAGCTCAGCTCCAGTGCAGCCCAAGACACACACTCACAGAGGAGCTTCGGCACATACCACAGCAGTGAGCTGCTGCTGACACAGTCAGAACTCTTATTTTGTAGAGTATTTCTTTCGCTCTTCTGCTGATGCCATTATGAAAAATAGTGCTGGCACAGCCATGCAGCCACTTGACACCCTTTCTTATTTATGTGGCTAACTTACTCTTGAATTTTATTTTCAAAGAAGATATTAATGTTTTATGGAGGGACAATCTATACATAAAGTCTCTTATTGTGGGGTTTGTGAATTTAGTTTATTGAAGTGTTTCATTAAATTAAAAACACAATTCCTAAAAACAAAGAGCTAGCAAAGATCAGAAAGTATTTGCACTTTTTAAAACTGAAAATGAAAAACATTTGTTTCTACTCACAATGAATTTCCAAATTAATGTTAACGGATCTTTCTTTGGTGAACTTTCTGAGTCACTATAATTAGGCTATTATTAATTTCCAAGTGATTATTATGTATTGACTCATAATAAATAAAACCTTGTATCTTAACACATTAAGGTTTTCATGTTTCCAGTACATATTCTATAAAAGGACAAATATATGTCACTTATACTTTATGTTCATGTTCATTTTCAATGTCTCTTGGAAATATCTTCTCCATAAGATTTAGGCTTATAATTTAGCTAATAAAATACACAAAACATTTCAAGACAAAAATCTAAGGGCATCGAAACCAAGTCTATATGGCCATGCTTAAAACCATCAAAATCTATCCATTTTCACCCCACGTACTATGCTGCTGATTACTTTTTAATCTAAGATGTACATTTCATAATGATGAATAGAGAGGATTTTATTACACGCAGTTGAATGAGCATTAAAAAAAGCCTTACCTATATGGGTGACATGTCATTTGTAATAAGAACATATTTTAATATTGAGATGTAATGAAATTATAAATCGGTAGTAATCCACAGCATAATGAAAATTTTAAAGCTGGTTCAGTCTTCTAAGAACCAAAAGATACCTTTTTGAGATGTTTTAATCATCTTAAACATTTAAGTATTAAAATTTCACACTTGCTAATGAATACTTCCAATAATATGATAGAGCAGTTATAGTTTTAATTCAAACTTCTTTAAGAGCGTTTTCTTTATTTCTTTACTTCTTTATTTTCTGTTTTGGAGATCAATCAAAAGGCCTTAGGCATGCTAGGCAAGCCTGCAACCTGTGAGCTACCTGATAGCCTACAAAATATGATCCAAATCACACCATTGCTCACATTAAATGTGCAGAGATTTCTGTAGGGCAATCAGTGATTTTAAATAGATAGATAGATAGATAGATAGATAGATAGATAGATAGATAGATAGACAGACAGAGGGAGAGAGATTATAAGTGAAATTTTAGCCTCTAAAAGTTAAATGTTGGTACACTGAAATTTTTATTCAATATATTAATACCAATTAAAATAAATTTCAAATTTATCTTAATTTTGAGCTCTAAAACAGTATATACTATGGGTTCTATTCAATATTAATATAGTCAACTATAGGTACATGGAAGTTTACATAAAATGAAAAACTGATGTTAAAAGACGTAGAAAACCACATTGTCCACTTTTTATTTCAAAGAGATTTAAAACATCACTGCTTGTAGCACAAAGAGCCTGACTCAGGGTTCATAGTTCAGAACATCCCTAAAGCATGTGCCTAACATGCTCAATGCTATAAGTAAAGGTACTGACATGTTATAAAGTTACTTAATCCCAAAATGAACCTATTGGTAGAAATAACAGTCTTTTATCCAATCACTATGTTTCATGTCTTGAAACAATAGTGTGTTCTCATTTTTTCTCTATTTTGAAATACATCATATACCTAAAATATCACTTATTAATTATGGTGAAATTCTCTATTTTAAAGGATAATTCCTTTATTATTATTAACAGAATAATTCATAGTTTAAAACTCTGCAATCTAAAGTATTTCCATTTAAATAAATGGTGACGGGGTTGGGGATTTAACTCAGTGGTAGAGCACTTGCCTAGCAAGCACAAGGCCCTGGGTTGGGTCCTCAGCTCTGGAAAAAAGACAAAATAGATAAATGGTTACATTTTGAAGGCAATATATAACAAGTCAGATTTTATTTGATTTCTTGAAAAAAAAACAAAAGATAACTTCTGGGATTCCAATTCTGGTTAGTTTTCCTTTATTGGCAGAATACTTCTTTCATGCACTGACTGGTGTTTTCAGATATCTTTTATGGTAACATAAGCTCAGTGTACACCAGCTCAACCTTTCCCTGGGAACTCCATAGAATTAGAGAAAAAGGCACTTACCATGTTCCAGCCAGGATAGAGGTAGTCTGTACCCACAAATTCAAAGTAGTGAGCAAAGCCTTCCTTCAACCACACGTCTTCCCACCACACCGGAGTCACAAGGTCACCAAACCACTGTTAGAACAGAATGAATGAGCATAAGAAAAAAAATAGCATCCACCACAGAATGATTTTACCTGAAATCAAATGTGTTAGTCTGTGATTATCATAACTGGATGTCATTCCCAAATTAATTTTGTGATCTTAAAATGTGTTGGGGCAAGACTGTAGTGGTTAATATGACTACTTGGATAACACTAGTATTTTAAAAATATGCTCAGTGAAGAACAAAAAATAGTAACCTTGAGTCAAATCTGGTGACAACTGTCTTCAGAGATTGGAAGCCTTATTGTATATAAGAAGAAGTTTATTATGACATTACAGGGACAGGCTGGGATGGATGAATGGACATCAGAAGTAGCCGGTGTCTGCTGAAGATGCAGAAGACTCTGTATGGTGGTCCAGAAGTGCTACTTAGAATAGTAGTGAGCAGTCAACATGAAAATGAAACATCTTCCTCTGAAGCAGAGGAAAATCACAGCCCACAATGACTAATGAACCAAACAAAGACTCTGAACTTTCTCCATACTACAGTCTCCTGAAAATGAGGAATTGAGCCAATAAAATCTGATATGACTCATGAAAAAGTTTTAATTGATATTTTGATTAAATAACAATAAATAAATAAAAGTACTCTAGTCTGAAATCTTTACTTTTTCTAAATTTGTTATCAAAATATATTCCATGCCAGAAACAATCAAAAAGACTTGAAATTCAATGAAGAAAACCTAGATAGTGTTTATTCTCACACAGGTGACAATTAAAGATTGTACATAACTAAAAAATAACAGTGTAAATTCCAATCTTCCTAACGTAACAGAGGGATGGAGCTTGGACTGCTTGTGATTATAGAGCACAATCATTCTCTGAGCAGATGACAACTGGGCTGAAACTTTAATGATAAGGAGCCAGCCATGAGGTAGTCTTGGGCAAGAGAATTTCAGACAGCAGACATAAGTAACCCACAGTGTAAGGAGTCTGTGTGGGAATATGTTCTCTGAGAAACAGGAGATACGGAAAGCTGGATTCTGACTGACCAGGTGGACAGAAGAATCGAACAGTCCTGATAGACAAAGACATACCAGATCTTACCTCAAGAGTCATCATAAGATAAGAACAGCTCAGGGACCCAACCAAGTGTTCCAATATTAATGATAAAGTATCATTTTCTTTAGGGTATCTCTAATTCAAATACAAATAAAATATATCTCCAAATAGGGTAATGGCCATGCAGCTTCTATTTTGAATGTTTTACTGTACCCCAAATACACATTTCTCTTTCAAATTGATAACCTGTCTTCAGCACTGTGACAACAAATAGGTGATCGGGATAATAGAGAAATCAAATGTGACAATCACAGTGAAATCATGACAGATGTTTCTCTTAGCTTCTGTCTCAGTTCTTTGTGGTAAGTGGCCTACTACCACTGAGCTACTAGAGGAAACTAACATGTAACAGGAAATGTGGGAAATGCAGAGCCCTGAACAATAAATTACAGCACTATCACTGGGCCTCATCTCAACAGAATCACAGATCTAATTTTTCACTTACAGGAATATCCCAAAAGGAAATTACATTTGCCTCAGAATGTTAAGTCAAGGGAGAAGCCACTCTAGCACTGAGGGACCCCAGTTATACCTACCATGGCCCCTCTGTAACCTGAGGTCAGAAACATGTCTGATTCAGTGAGCACAAAGGTACAACTCTCTCCCTGGTTCACTGTAAGAGGCAAACGATGCCATTAACAATGTCTGTTCTCTGGATTTTTTTTTTTCAGCAACATCACAATTTAACAAGTGTTACAAAATATCAGTCTACCACCTTCCCCTAGTAAGGACATTCATAAAATCAAAATGAAATTAATTTTTATCTTAGCCTCACTATGTTGTCCAATTTACACATTTGAATTTCTAAATATGCCAAATTAAAAAAATATATCACTCTTTTGAGAACAAAGAGTCTATTGCTGAGTTAGTGAAAGACTTCCTATGTGTCTATGTGACAGGGAAAGAAGAAAAATAAACCAATTTTGGCAAAAGCAAATTTTAACACATAAACAAAACTCAGCTGCATCTCTCCACAATGCAGTACATCATTTTTCTCACTGCACTTACCTTATGTACACACTAATAATCAAAGAAATGGAAGCATGGCTGATCAGCAGCTACACAGGAGCTCTGAAGGGGAAGTCACTCCATCACACATTTCAACTCAACCCAGTGGCAGTTGCTGACGCGATACCATCAGTTTGTGTATGTGTGCTTACCTTATTGTCTGAGAAAAATGGCGTGCCGTGCAGAGGAACTGCACAGTGATGTGTAGAGAACCTAGATGGGAGGATTAAAAACCAAGCTCCTCATCTAGATGTGTGAAGTCACCTCACATTCTAGACAGTTTCACATTATACTTACACCTGTTCCTTTTCTCGTACCTGGTGACATATTTCATGAACAATGACCATGGTGACATCCAGCAAATATGAAATAGATGAAACACTGGGGTCCAGCAGTATTCTTTGCTCCACAAAAATACTTAGTCCCCAGTTCTCCATAGCAGCATACGGATGCTTAGGCACAGCTAAAAGATCTAGAGAGAGAATAAAACAGTTCCAAAGGTTTTAATAACAACACCAAATCCTAAATTTCATAACTTAAAAAGTTCAGAAATCCTAATAAGAAGGAACACTTTCTCGTTATTACTTTTTTTTTTAATTAAACATTCAGCCATATCTACCTGACAGTAGAAATATAGGCTATCACTTTTGATACTGGTCATATTCATTCATCACAGTTCATTTTCAGGCCCAGCACTCCAGGTGGCTAGAAGTATCTGCAACATTATTGATGGGCCCGTCCTAATAAGTCTCAGAAAGTCAAGGAAACCAAATGCACCAGGAACCCAGAGTCAAAGGCATTGTGCCTTCTAATGAAAATTTACTCAGCTCAGTGCAGGAGCGAGTATATTATCACTTTTATCTCATATCTCTCTCAGAGAAAACACTTCATAGTGGTTTTTAAATGTGGAGTCATTTTTTTCTAATTTCTTAAATGTAGTACATTCTTCTGATCCTTTTAAAAATAAAATGCTGCATTTAATCTTAGCATATAGAGAAAAGTAAGACAGTGAATGTAGTAACAAATAGAGAATAGAGTGGACCCACGGGCTTCGGTCTGGACTTGCCACCATCAACCACCGATGTGACATCACTAAATCACTTAGCTTCTCAGGACCACAATTCCCTTACCTATAAAGTAAGGTTATTGGCCTTTTCTGTAAAATGCCTTCCAGCTCGAAAAACCCATGATTAGATGAGCGTGTGCTTATTTTAAAAGGTCGTCCAGGTATTATCAACTTCTGATTACGGTGAGCGAAAGAAATTCATGTTTCACTTACTCCCTCTGCTCCAGACTCACAGCAATGGTAAATAAAATATTTAGAAAGAAAACTAATCCCCAGGCTCAAAAAAATAAACCTCTCAGTGGATCAGAAATGAAACCCAAATGCAAAGTGGTTATTACGTGAAGCTACGGACCTGCTGGTCTCTGGCTCCAAAAGCAGGCAGTAGCAGCTGGGAACTGGCTCTGGCAAGACACACTAGAGCCAAAAGTACCCATGCCAGGTTGACTGCTCGATGCCAAGGGCTGAGGTAAGGCATGCATACTCAGGAGAAGAGCGGAAAATAGCTGGTGCCCACTGCTTCCTGGAAGTGCTAGCAAGGGCCAAGAAGTATTTGAACACTGGCTCTTATACATTTGTTCTTAATCATAATGAACACCCACATTCCAAAAATGGAAATTTGTCCCAGCATAATCCTTAGAGTCACGTATTCCAAGACTACCAATAAAATGTATGAGAGTGTTCATTATAGTATTGTTTCTAAAAGTGAAAAGAGGAAATTAAATGCCTTTTCACCAAGATAGTACACAAAGAAGCTATGAAAGCATTCCATAAAGGAATATTACACAGCAATTAAAATAAGTGATCTCACCACTGGTTTCTACTGTTAAAGGTGTCAACACAGACAATCCGAGAAACATAATAATGAAGAAAGAAGGTATAAAATGACCCCTGTAATCATTAGAAATAATCAAAATAATATCGCATAGTGTATAAGTATTTTCACACATGTAGATCACAGAGACAGAGTAGTAGAAAATATCCATGCAAACACACACAGTAAGTAATAGTAAAGACACTAACTTCAGGATCATGGTTGCTACTGAGGAGAAAAAAGACTGTAGGACAGCCACATGACGAATTAATGTCTTTGTGTCAATGTTTTAAAGCTGGTGGTGGGTACATTGACATTAGCATAATATTCTTCATCCCCTTATATATGCTTAAATATTTCACGACAAATAATTGAATAGAATAGTCAGCAGTCTTAGCATACTATTGATTTTTATTTATTTCTGACTTCAGCAAATATCTTTTCAGCATAAGTGCTGTTCTGAAATCTGAAATATGCATTAAAGTAAGTCAAATATATCCCCTAATTCCTCTACAGTTTAAACTAATAATGAAGCCATGACAACTATAACACAGAAAAATAGAATATTTTAAAGTGCTATGAGAGAAGACAAAAATATCTGTTTGGAAGATTCTTGGAAAAAAATGTTATTTATCAGGCTTTAAATCAGTGACTAGGATTTCAGCTGGCATGTAGAGTAGCCTGTTCCTTCCTAGAATTTTAATTAATAAAAAGAAGTCACCTGTGCACCTATGTATACAGCAAATAGTTACTGGGCCTCACCTTTATGAAAGTATTGTTTTATTATTACTTATTGTATTTTCATTTATTTTCTTATTATTTATTGTATTATTGTTCTGGAAAACCCCTTATTATCTGCATAGCAGTGCTTACATATGGAGATGTTCATCTAACAAGTAATAAATGAAAGAAAGAAATGTAGTGATTAATACACGCTAGGAAATATATTCCAGTATGAAAGTTACAGGATGAATAAGTGTGGGAGGCATGGGCAAAGCAAGCCTCTCTACTGTAATCACCTTACCCCAGCATGTGAGCAATATTAGAGGCTAGCTTATTTGAAGACCTGTACAGGTGTGTCCTGAAGGAGGCTAGAAAAGACGGCAGCACTCAGGTGGGGAAGTAACAAATACTTTGGACAAACAGAAAAGAGGCTGGTGTGTCTATGCCCCATAAAAGGCAAGCTATAGACCACAGAACTAGTACATAGGGAAAGTGTCTAACAGGAGAACTCACTGACTTTACATAATGGAAGACACTGCCTACGAATGAATAAACTAGGCAGCAGGCCCGCAATGTGTCAACTTGGCCTGTCATTAGTACATGGCAACAGTAATAGCTGGCCCAGCATCATTTACTTGTGGAAACAGATGGACCTGTGTAAAAACCTTTTTCTCTAACAAATCCTGTTGCAATGAAGAACCAAATCTGAATTCTGTAGACCTTCATGTGCAAGGAGGAGGCGGGTCCTCGCAGCTGAGTGAGCAGAGCACACCTGGGCCTGGATGGAGAGAAAACTGCAAACATATGATCCAAGTATGTCATCTAGAAGTCTGTGATCGAAGGTAAAGCTCAGTGAGGGGCAGTTTACAGATTGCTAATTCCTAATAAACAGTATAAATACAGATAGCACTTGGGGAAAGCAATTACCGCACAAATGTAAGGAACTGTGTTCCATTCCCACCACTTATGGTGGTATGTGCTTTTAATCTAGCACTCGTAGGTGGAGACAGGTGCATTCCTGATACCTGCTGGCCAGTCAGCCCAGCCCAATCAGTGACCTCCAGATCACAGTGAGAAACTATCTCAAAAGACAAGCTGAATAATTTCTGAGAAGTAATGCCCAAAGTAGTAGACCCCTGGCCTGAACATGCCCTGACAAATAGCAACATGAGTATTCTTACACACACACACACACACACACACACACACACACACACACACACACACAAATAAAAATAAAAGCGAAAATTAAAAATAATAAAAAAGCAGATATGATGAGGGGGCACTTGCCGGCTGGTACCAAAGTCTTTATATATTGATGACTTATGGTTTTACATTGCCTCCAGAAGTATGGAGGCACAGAAATCTGGACAACAGTATGATGGGTAAACCAAGCAAGGACTCTTAACAAATAGGGAATAAAGTGACTGATGGGCAAGATTTAACATGGTGGAATTAGTAATAATGGGCAGTTTCTCAGGTACAGATATGGGAAAACATTAGATCTTGGAAAAAATCTTCATGGGTAACAGAGGAAAGAAACAGAAAGCAAAAGATGTCAGATTTGGTACCATCCATACAACAGTCTTTGTTACAACATGTTGGCAAATTGGTCAAATAACTTTGGAAAGGACTACTGCCATAACCATTCATAAATTGAGAAATCTCCGAGGATAGTCTTATATTTTAAGAATATCTGCATCACATACAAAAAGAATTGTGCATACAAATTCTCACAAAAGCTTAATTTCCAGTACCTGAAAATGCAGCATAATCCAAGTACCCAAAAACAGGCAAATAGGAAATTGTGATGTAGCAAACAACAAAGTGTAGTGGGTAGCCATTCCAGCCCTGATCTGGAAGTTCCAACCCCTATTGAGGCTTTGGTAACTGTCATGCCTACAAGGCGGGGCAAGAGAGGACCCTGAAGACCAGAGATCTGGATGCACCCGCTCTCTTGGTTCCTGGACCCTAGACACTGGAGGTAGACCAAGCAGAGTTCTCCAGAGAACACCGTCGGACTGTGCTACACCTTTCCCAGATCCTGTTACCTATCCCTTCATTTGTGAGTTACCCCACAAAATAAACCTCCCTTTTAACTACGTGGAGTTGCCTTAATAATTTCACCAATAACAAAGTACTACTCACTGGTAACCAAAATAAATGAACTCTTGCAACAGCACACAGCATGAGTGATCCCCAAAATAACATATTCAGTTTTTAAAAATTAAAGAAATGTATACTTTATGATTAACATTATTTATGTAAAATTCCTAGAAATTCAAAATAATCTAAGTGATGAAGATCAGTGAATGGCTGGGATAAATATGGGAGCTGCTGCTGCACAGCACTAGGAATCATTTTGGAATCAAAGTGTGCATTATGGTGATGGGTGTGTATTCCTTAAAGCACCAAGTTGTACACAATATATACCCATTTGTTTTACCTCAGTGAAACTACTTTGTAAAGAGTGTTAGTTAACTGAAACAGTATTCTGCTTATTTGAGGCATATAATGCTCACTTACACTGAATTAAGTTATTTTAATTTTGCAAAGTAATGCAACTGCATCCATTAAAATATGCATCCATTACTTTTTAATGTGCCTTGAAAAGAAGAAAACTCACATTTTAGAACATAATTTACTTAAAAATTCAAAGAAAGTCCTAGATAAAATTATACATATGGCTCTTCCAAATCATAACTATCATCCAGAAAACTATAGCTAGGCAGAAGGGGGGGTGGGAATCACATAATACTAATGAATGTGGTGACCTAAATTAACATAGAAGTCTATCTCTGCTCACTCGCCTCCTCCTGACACTGATAAGTTATGATGCCTCTACCACCCCAGCACACAGCTGAAATGGCTC